GTTCCATCCTACAGCAACACCTGGGAGATATGGCGAAAAACTGGGTTTGCGATTGTGGGGTTACCAACAAGTTGTCGGCGGCCTTCTGTCCAGCCTGTGGCAAGCACTGGCAGGCACAGACTGGCTATGTATATGGCAACAGAGCACAAGGGACGTGGCAGACAGATGGAAGCCAGCAACCTTGGACCGAGGATGCCTGGAACAAGCCCAGGCGACCGAAGTCGCCTCGGAAGCGAGGAGACAAAGGCAAAGGCAAAGGAGGCAAGCAAGGACGTGCAGAGTCGCCGGGCAGGCCGAAGGCTGGCCCTCCAGCGCCGAAAGCGGCGCAGCTTCCCAAGCCCCCACCTCGGACACCGATTGCCGGGCCTCAGTCATCAACCAAAGAAGCCACGCCCGCTGCCAGCGCGAGTTCCACCGCAGAGAAGGCGGCGCTCGAACGACTGTTGGGCATCATGAGAGAGAACGAAGCAGAGCTCAGTCCGCAGCTGCGAGAATTGCTGGCTCTACACCAGCAGGACGATGCGAAGGAGGAAGCGAAAACAATGCATCGTATTGTTGCCAGCAAGGCAGCAGCCAAGAAGGAACTGCACAAACTGCGAGCGAGCCGTGGCAACTATGTCAAAACTTGGTGCGGTTATCTGGATCAGGTCATGACTACGGTTCAAGCTCAGCTGGAAGAACATGTGCAAACTATGAGCGATTATGCTGCCAAGGAAGCTCAATGGGAGCAGTCGCTCCAGGAGGCCACGTCAGCCTTGGCAAAGCTGGCGACGGACGAGACACATACCATCTCCGACGAGGACGACGAGCATGTCATGGAAACCTCGGAAGCCAAAGTGGACGAGGCAATTGCAGCGGAGGCCAATGCGCAGCAGTCAGCAGCACAGGTTGGCAGCAAAGGGGCTACAGGCCATTGCGCAGGTACGTGCCAAAGCCGCCGAGGATCTCGCCAAGGAGCAGAGTCGAGAAAGGACGCCGCGCCGGAAGGGCGCCGCAGGGCCTTCCGAAACGCCGCCCCCTGGCAAGGCCTCCTGATGTGCCTGACGGACTTCAGGGGGCCGATCTGGCCCGCTTTTGACGGGATGACGGTTCAATTGCCAGCTCATAGTATATCGCACGAAGCCGACTTCACCTCGCCATGCATGGCGCGGTGAAACGCCCTTCAGCTTGAGGCGGAACTTTCTTTTGAGGCACTCGGGGTGACGTTCACACCGGCTGCAGACCTTCGCTTGCTCACGGCTGCTGATTCCGTTGAGCAGTGGCCGTGGTGTCCACCTGCATCGGACTGCATTGGGGAGCAGCCGGTTGTAAGTGGGTCTAATGGTTGTAGTGGGCTTGCTAGCAATGGTGTTCCTTTGCGCTCTTGCCTGCACAACATACCATACCCCATCGCCTTCCTGCCGCCAGCCTTTAGCAGTGCAGAGATGATTCCTTGCAACAGGCATATTAGGCAGATGGTTGAGGTTCTCCGTAGAGTTCCGGACGGAGGGGTGAATTTTGAGGATTTCGCCAATTTTCATCCTCGCGCTGGTGTTGTGTTCAACACTGGCCCGTGCCACCTGCAACCTTCTTGCCAGAGCAGGCCCGAAGCGGTCCGTGACACTGACTACCGCTTGCTCCAGACCGCAGCTCCCGCCTGCCTCCCATCATCTTCAAGGGGAAAGGATGATCTAACATTGGATGGGGTCGCCAATTTTCATCCTCGCGCCGGCTGTCCCATGGACGCCGGACCGTGCCACGATTTTATGCCTGAGCAGCCTAGGATCTGGGCCCCTAAGCCCTCCGGTTTGCCTTCGTTGCGGATGATGCTCACCCAGTCCATCGATCTCTTCCCAAGGTCTTTGGACCGCCCTGAAATCAGGGACCTTCAGGTCTCATCCCTGCAGGGCTATAGTGGGTATAGAGCCACGGGTATAGTAGGGGACATGCCGCAGCAGGATCGCTATTGCATCTTCTCTACCCAAGCACATGCCGAGGTGAGACAACTGCCAAGGGGATTCACACTCGGGCAGTTGCTAGCTGATATATATGGTGTTTACCCGCATATGCGGGCAGCCAGACTCTTGACACAAAGGCTGCCTGGGTTCCCCGCCACTCAGCTCGCCATAACGCTGAGGGATGCTCCGGCCGAGCATCAAGCCCTTCCTGTGGACTACAGGCCGCTGTCAGGTAAGGTTTGCACAGTGAATGTTGGTCCGGGGCAATCAGCCGACGATGTTGCAGAACACTGCCATCGAACATGCCCGGCAGACAGACTGCCGCAAGGCTTGTATGTTCTTTACGAGCCAAATGGCGACGATTTCGAGGCTGTCCCAGGCTTTGCGGAAGACCTCGATCACCTGCGGGCAGGTCTACCACGTTTTGCAGCTCCTCAGGAACAAGAGACCGAACCTGAAGAGGCGACACTACTGCAGACCGAGCGAAGGCAGCACTCCATGACGGTGCCTGCGCAGCCACACAACCCCGGCTTCAGGTGTATCGATGCACCCTCTCAGATTGCGACTCCTCCTCAGTGCCCTTCCCAGGATGGCGACCCACCTTCGCTCTTGAAGCGACGACTCACAGGGGAGAGCCCCAAGCCTTCCGAACCGCGTTGGCACCTTCAGCCACCGGTTCTGCGGGAATCTCGTTATTCTGAGGTTGTAGTGTCATACACGTCATGGGGTAGGCCAGCTGATGACACGAGACATCTTTTCACTGTGTTCGATACACAACGTCACTTCAGCGCCATCCCCAGTCATGATGCCAGCAAGCTAGCCGACTACGCGCAGCGCGCGGTTGACTCAGCGCCCGGACCGGTCCGTGCACTACAGTTCCTGACGGTTCCTGTGCCTGGCTTTCCGTTGCCTCAGGTGGCCCTTACGCTTGAAGCTGATCCCATTGACACCATGGCCATCCCTTGGGACTGCCAAGCGGTCGGCTTGCCTTTGCGTACGGTGCCGCACCTGCGAGGTGAAAGTCTGAACGTTGCCGCCCAGGCTTTACAAAGCACCATACCGACAGAAGTTGACCTGGCTGCGCGGATCAGCGATGGCAGGCTCCTCGTTTTGGATGTGGCAGGACTCCTTCAAGACAGCCTGCCTGTTGATTTGACGGAGATCCAATGGCTACGGCTAGAGCAGCCCATCTGGGGTGACACGATTGTGGAGAGTTCCCAGCGCCTGCCAGCTATGCTTGAATCCCTGCGCCTGGGGCTACCAGCTGGCATGAGAGGCGCAGTCGGCACCACCAGTACGACAACCGCCATGTTGACTTCTAATGCGCGCATATTCGGCTCTTTGGGGCAGGCAAAGAGGTCTTCCATGACGTGCAGGCCCCCTGCCAGCAACTCGATTTGGTGCTCTGTCTGCTACTTGGTAAGTTACAACATGCTGCCCCAGCCACCTGTGGGCCCGTCAACATCATGATGGCCAAAGCGCAGCCACCTCCTGTCGGAGAAGTTCAAGAAGTGCTGTTCTGCAGTCACCCAGCTGACGCTTTTGACTCAGTCCCAGTGTTCATTGATGGTCGCCCGCAGGGTGGAGCGTTGATTCTAGCGGAGCTTCCTCGATTGACCATCACCGAAAATGCGGTGCCCGATAGCGTGCGCGGCAATGGCTGTTTCGCTCTGATTAACGGCGCGCCTGCGCATTTGGCACAGCGGACAGTCATGTCAGGGGACTATGTGCAATTAGGGTGTTCCGGTGTTTTCGTGCCACACACGGCGGACACAGTCATTATGGACTCTATCCCCAGTGTTGACGTTTACGGCTACCCTTTTGCAGCTCAGCGAACGGCCGATGATGGCACCTTTCTTGCCCGCATCCGTGAAAGAAGACGAGCGGCAAAAGTCTGGCAGCCGCTAGAAAATGTCATCACGATCGTTGGGCCCGCGCATGGTCCGGTGCGGTTGCGCATTGACAGTCTCTTTGTTCCCACGGTTGCCGAGGTAAGAGAGGCTCTCATACCAATGTACGATTTCAACAGCATGCACTTGGCCATGGCGTACACCACGGCGCAAATACCAGGAGCAGCCCTCTTTGTCACGGTATGCCCGCAGAGTGACCTGCGCACGGTGCTTCTTCCGATTGCCACGCACCCTGCGCATCACATCGTGCTGATGATACCATCCCTCGCTGAAGACTTGGGGTATCTGCCTATGGATCCGCAGCAGCGGATTTTGTGGACGTATGATAGATGGCGCCATGGTCAAGTTCTTGCCGTCTTCACGTTGCCGGCCTCCATGGCCCGTCCGGTCCATAGGCATGTGCGACCACCTCGCCCGCCGGCGAGGACAACATATAGCCCTGCGGGACGCATTGTTCCGAGAAGTGGCACATCACTCGTGCAGCTCCCGAATATCCAAGATTCAGGCCAGACCAGATGCCGTCAAGCTGCACGTCAATGGCAAGTTGACGAAAATCAACCTTGCATTGAGGGTCTTCCAGCTGAGGTCCACCAGCGCCTCCATTCAGTTCCAGTCCTTGTTGGAAACGAGCACGAGGGTTTGCAGGTTGACAGGAGTGCCACTGACCAGGAGCACACCAGCCACACGCACCACCTCCAGCACTCGGAGTGCTTGAGGCCGCAGGTGAAGGCACAGGTAGCCCAGTGTATTCCTACTCCCCTTGGCCGTCGTAGACTTGCTCGACAGCCTGCCACTGCTCCCCTCACGCTGCATTCACTTCTGCCAGTTACCAAGAATGACACGCAAACAGCCGGGCTTTCATTCGGGTTGGAGCCAGAGGCGTTGGAATATGTGTTCCAGCCTTTCAGCAGAGAATGCCTTTGTCATACAAGACCGCCCGAAGAAGCGTTACACCCTGTTGCCAGGGCATTCCTCCGAGGATTGCCAGATTCTTGCCAGGAGACGCCCTTGGAAGCGCTCCAGCTCTATGTGGATGGTTCCTTCACAGGTACAGGTCCTAAGGTGCGTGCAGGATGGTCCATTGTCGTCATTGGGAGACAGGCAGGCATTTGGTGCTGGGTTGGCCACCTTTCCACTCCCAGCAGCCCATCAGGTGATCACACCACGCTCGGAGTCGCTGTTTCTTCTGCTTTCGAGGCTGAGCTTGCTGGTCTGGTGTTTGCACTTGCTGTATGTCAGGCGATTCCATGCCCGGCAGCAGTGTTTTATGACTGCTTGTCAGCGGGGCAGATTGTATCAGCCGAGGCATCTGCCACCTCTCCGAATGCCCTCACTGAAGCTGCTCTCTCGACTAATCACCTGTTGTGGATGCAAAACCGCCTGCCTGCATTCCGACATATCAAATCGCATGAAGGGCATCCGCTCAATGAACTGGTTGATTCCGTCGCCAAGCTCTCAGCCAAGCAAACTGCCCAGCCAGTCCCGGCTGAGTTATACTGGGCATCGCAAGAGCATGCTTTGCCTTGGTTGTGGGCCGCAGCTGGTCTTCACTCGAGTTTGCCTCGCCCCAATGAAGCTGGCAGTGTTTGCGACTCGGTGCCTACCGCTGAGGCTCCAGGTCCGGCCCTGAGTGACGTCTTGCCTTCTGCTCGCCCACCCGAAAAGGAGACGCCTCAATTCCATTTGCGAGCAGCAACTTACAACGCCATGACGGCGGCCTCGCAGATACAGAAGGAAAGCTTCGCGCGTCAGTTCCAGCAGGCAGGACTGCATGCAATTGGCCTGCAAGAAACACGTGTTGCGGAATCGGGCAGAAAAAAGGTCGGAGCATATCATGTGCTTTCCAGTCCGGCCTTAAATGGAGAAGGAGGTTGCCAGGTCTGGCTAGCTGCGAACCTTCAGCTGGGAACCTGTGACTCCGGCCCAGTCCTTTGGGAGCCCTCCTCCTTTAGCATCCTGATTGCAGAGCCTCAGATCATGTTGGTCTTAGCCAGAGCCTGCGGTTGCTCTTTTGCTTTCTTGGTGGGGCATGCGCCTATCAATAAAGCCCCGGTGCACATCAAAGAACAGTGGTGGCAAGCCCTGTCATCTGCCGTCAAGCGTGTGCCACCGAGAGCCACGCTCCTCCTCTGCCTCGATGCGAACGCCAGGCTCGCTAAAGAGGGACAGCCCCACCCGGACAACGCGTTCTTCATGCGGGGATTCCTTACGGCTCATAACCTCGTATCCACCAGCGCGCTGGATGAGCAGGGTGAAGAACTAGACACTTGGTACAGCCCTGCCGGATTTTCAGTGTGCATCGACTATGTGTGCTTGCCCAGGGAGATTGCGGGAGCTATGGCGTCCCACCAGGCGCTCGCGCATTTTGCAGGGCAGGTTGAGCATGATCACAGGACGGTCCAAATTGAGCTCCATTTGCAACGCACCGGCGCCAGGGCGCCTTCTAGGCTCAGTCTCGATGCGAACTTCCTGCGCACGCAGGATGGGCAACAGGCTTTGCAGGATATCTACAAGCGCATGCCACCCGTACCCTGGCATACCGATGTTGACACACACCTCGGTTTGATCAATTCTTTCCTGCAGACAGAGTTGGGACGCCTTTGCCCCTCCAAGGCAGCCAAACCCCGCTCGCCAGTCATCTCCGCTGCATCTTGGGAGTTGATTAGACACAGGAGAGAATTACGCCGGGAATTGTATGGCAGAAAAATCTTAGAAAGGCAGAGATTTTTGCGGAGGGTCTTCGATACCTGGGCAGGACGACACACTCATGACCCAGACTGCGAGCTTGAGAGGCAGTACACTGCCTTTCTTGTACTTCAAGTTGCCGACCTCGGCAGGTGCATTAAACAAAGCTCGCGAAAAGACTCTGCCTTAGCGACCCAGGATGCGTTCGCCGAGGCGAGAACGCAGGGGCCTGAGGCCCTGGCATCCTTGCTCAGGCATGTCATGAAGTCGGGTCGCAGATTCAAGCCGCCTTCTTTAGCTCCGGCCATCTGGAATACCGAGAGGGAGACATTCATTGATGGCGACAGAGCATTGGGGGATCACTTTGCCAAAGCTGAGAGAGCAGATCTCGTTGCCCCAGAGGATATCACGACTGTGTCCGCGCAGTACGCTCCGCAAGCCCTTGAGATGGCTTCTGCGGTCTCGGTCGCATCCCTGGCCCACTCTTTCAAGCAACTTGCTCACCGAAAAAGCCCAGGTCTTACCGGCCTGCCCGCGGAAGCCTATAGCCAAGCTGCTGTTGCAGCTGCCTCCTGCCACGCCCCGCTTGTCCTCAAAATTGCCCTGAGGGGACAAGTTCCGATTTTGTGGAGGGGAGGCGAAGTGGCTGCCATTGCCAAGCCTCAGAAGAGCCCACATTCGGTCGAGGGGTGGCGATCGATTCTTCTCATGGAGGCAGCGGCGAAAGGTGTGGGCAGAGCACTACGCCCAGCCCTGTTAAAGGGTTACCAGCAACTCAAGCACCCAGGTCAAGGCGGCAGCGTGCCCAAGGAGCCTCTTCAATGGGCCATGGCCTTGATTCGAGGCTTTGCGCGCAGACTTCGCGCTGCCGGCAACTGGGGGTGTGCTCTTTCTAGACGGCAAGCAGGCGTTCTACGCCACGTTGAGGCAGGCGCTAGTGGGAATTGAAGCCGGGTCTGCCACCGAGGCCATTGAAGCTTTGGCTGAGCGCTTCTTCTCCGAACCGCAGGACAAACTAGACTTTGTGGCGGCTGCGGTCGGCCCTGGACTCCTTCAGGCCTCTGGTGTGCCTGAAATAGTACGTCGCATTGCAGTGGCCTCACTGCAACGCACGTGGTATGTTCATGGCAAGGCCACCAGGTGGACATACGAGACGTTTTCAGGCACAACTCCCGGAGCGCCTCTCACTGACCTTTATTTTCAGTTTTTGATGACATTGGTCTTTGAGCGAGTGCAAGCGCGTATCCAGGAGGAGTACATAGAGCCATGGTGTCCATGCTCTTCCGGAGGGCAAACTTTCCGCATGTTGGCACCATCATGGATGGATGACTGGGCATTACCCTTGGTGCCACCTTCGGCTGATAACCTGATCCCACAGGCCAAAACCTTGGTTTCTATCGTTGACTCGGCTCTACATTCCGTTGGGATAGAAGTCAACTATGCGCCCGGAAAGACAGAGCTTGTGCCCATACTGGCAGGCAAAGGCAGCAAGACGACCAGACAGGCACTCTTTCAAGACAACGATGTCTTTTACGTGGCCTTAGCAAGTGGCGTGGCGCATGTGCGTATCGTGCCCAGCTATGAGCACCTCGGCTCTGTCGTGACTTGGGATGCCGCCGACAGGCAAGACCTGCAACATCGACGGTTTTTAGCTCGTACGCTGCTCAAGTCCATGCGACGCATCCTCTCCAACAAATTCCTCACAGAACGTGAAAGAGCCGATTTGTTGGTCAGTATGCCACTGGCGAGGCTTCGACACGCAGCGGGATTGTGGGCATTCGCATCCATGCGAGATTTCGCCGCATATGAGACGGCCTATATGGAGCTACTTCGTCGCAGCTTCCGGGCCATCACAGGCATTTCTGCCCGGGGCCGTACCGATGCGGAAATATGCCAGGGACTTGGTGTGCTCACAGCTCGGCAGGCCCGAAACGCGGACCTGGTGCGACATGCTTCATGGTTGCTGACCTGCGAGGAAGCGGCAATGGATCAACTTTGGTTCCAGGGGGGAGTCTGGCTGCAGAACCTACAGGATGCTATGGCGGCTGTAGGTAAACAGCTGCAGATGCCCACCATCGAGTTGGCCGCTCTTCGTGCTTGTCCCTCGGCGGCCCAGTCATGGGTCAGACGTTACACCAGGTCGTGCCGACAAGAGCAGGAGCTCTCCAGACAGCGCCTGCTCCCGACGTGGCAGGGGCAGCAACTCGCGCAGGACCGTGGATGGATCTTTGTTCATATTGATTTGTCCCAGAAGGATGCAGTTAAGGCCCACATGTGCTCTATTTGCGAGAGGGCTTTTGCCACCGCCGCCGCTTGTCAAGCACATGTGCGAAAAGTACACAAAATGCTCTCAAAGGCCACCCTTGCCACCTTTGGCACTCGCTGCGAAAGCTGTTCAAAGGAGTATTGGACGGCCACGCGGCTTCGAGAGCACTTTAGAACGCATCCTTTCTGTCGACAGGTTGCCATACAGTCAGACATTTCGCCCGCCAATGTCTGTTTCCGGTCCGAGCCCAAGTCTTGGAAGCCGGCCATTACGGTGCCCGGACCGCGGCCGTGGTGGGCTACGCAGAGGCCCTTGCTGGATGAAGGTGATCACGTGCCGGTGGTCACTTCTGGGTGGGGCTTGTTGCAAGGAGTTTTGAAGCGAGGCTCAGGTGACGATATGCATGGGTTTGTGCTTTCGGCCCTGAAGGTTGCAGTACAGTATGATCTCACTATGGAAGACGCACCACTCGCTTTGCTTACCACTCGACATGGAGCCTTGCTGCAGAGTATCCTCTTTGCGGCGGAACACATGCAGGCTGGTTCCAGCGGTAAGCTAGTTTCGGCGCCTTGGCTTGTCACAGTCAGCCAAGATCGCGCCATTTTTGTTCCGCTTGGCGGAAATATGCAGGTTGTCTTGCCATCCGAATGGGATTGCTGCCGAGCCCTGCTATAGTTCCCGAGCTTTGCATGCGGAGTGCACCGAAAGGTCCGAACATCTAGGGAAAAAAGCCCTCAACCCTAAACCGATGAGCAGGTGAAGCTGGGGGATCCGATATGAGATTCCAAAGCGACCGAAAAGGGGAGCCGTGGAGCCCCTCGGAGTATCGAGCCGTAGAAGCGAGGCAACCCTAATCTCCCAGGTACCTACTATATAGGGCCCTAATCGCTCTAGTACCCTATATAGTAGGTACTGGGGGGTTAGGGCAAGGCAGCGCATGCAATGCGACGTCGCTAGGCTGTGCATCCAGGGCCTCTGCCTGCGTGCGTGTCTTGTTTGTCTTTTATTTTTGTGCGCGTGTGCATGTAAAAGTGTGTGTGTGTGTGAGTGTGAGTGAGTGTGTTTGTATGTTTTAGTTTGTGCATGTTGTTTCGCCCGGGCTTTCAGACATGGGGGCGATTCAGGGCTTGACGGGTTGGCATGAGGGTTTCAGGATTCATCTGAGCTTCCTGTTTAGGGTCTGGGAATTCTCGGCCCGAGTTTCGGGGGTGTCGTCTTGCACTTCCCGTTTAATTAAGGATGGAGAGCATCGTAAGCTCGGGGGATGACGGCCTGGAGGGTTCCGGAGGTCCAGATGACAATGCACCACGCAAGCGCCACAAGGTGAACCGCGCTTTCCCATAAGGGTTCCCCAAAAACTCCAATATCCCGTAATTAAGGGATATACCTTAAATTATACTAGGAACCCTAATAAGATTTAAGGAATATATTCCTTAATTAAGGGATATTGGAGTCTCTGGGTTATCAACATCCTACTGCAACTACGATATCTCCACTCGAGCTGCAACCCCTACTTCGCCCCGGACCTTTTCCGGCTCCCTCCACTTTCCATCCGCTGGCGGGCGGCTGGCTGATCCTGACTGAAACTGCAGGGTACCCATAGGCCCCTAAGTAGTTCCTTTTTGTGGGTTTGTATGTAGAATCCTATAAGGTAATCCCCAAAAAAGGGAACTACTTAGGGGCCTATGGGTAAAGCTATGGTTTAGGGTAGAGACTGGGAGGCGGCAGGTCGGGGTCAGTAATGTAGGAACCTGGTTAAGAAACCCTGTCCCTATAACCCCAAAAGTTTGAGATATTCGGCTTCTGCGGAGACTCGCGATCGGGATACTGCCGAGTTTCCGAATTCTTGCGGTCGCAGTTGGAAATGAATTCGAGGCTTACTGTAGGAAGTTCGACAAGAGCAGCGCTAAATTCTAAAGATGGCGCCACCATCCCTTCCCATCGCCAACGCAGGGTTTAGGGTTTCGGGGTCCAGGCTCTTCAAACTCCTTCCCCGCTCTCGGAGGAAACACGCGTAATTACATAGAAACATAGAGTAGATCTTGCTTTCGGCCCGCCCCTCATCATCTAGAGTACTCTGCCCCGTACGACCTTCTTGATGGGCTACGCATTGCACAAGCAAAGGTAGCACAATCACCTGAAGTGGGAACCCTAATTGGCTGGTGACGGGCCTGCCAGACTATCCAGAAAACCAGAAAACATGATAGCTGGGTCGGATATACATCGTATGCAAACCCTGAGCCGATTTTTGGAACATAAGCCCTAAGCGACACAGGCTCCACGAGCAAGGAGTGGACGAAGCTCAACGAACTACGACAGATCCGAAGACTTATGACTCTCATGATCGTGCTCTTACGACTAGAGCCAGGCTTACATTTCTATTTCGAAGTTCTTTTTATGTTCTTTTTGCGATAATCACACAGCTGAACTTCTGAGCACTACTCTCTTGGCCTCCATTAGATGCGCTTCGGCCAGGCCAACTGGATGTCCAGCCTGGTGGGCTTCAGGGTTTACGGGGTTTGGGGTTTAGGGAGTAGTAGCAGGCATAGTAGCAACAACTATAGAAACATTAGCAATATTAGAAATACTAGCAATAATAGTACTAATAATAATAATAACAATAAACATGACAATAACAACAATAATAGTAATAATAGTACTAGTATGGGCTGCCGGATTCCCTTCAAGTCGAAAGGAGTTGCCCAGCAGAAGTGCGCATCCCAAACTCTGAAAGATCGCCCGACATGGATCTACGGTTTGGGTTTAGGGTTTCAAACTCTGAAAGATCGCCCTGGGGATGTGTGCGCTCCACCACTTCAGGTTGGTGCCCTATTGAGCCTGGATCTGAAGATCTGAGAAAAGCATGTACGGCTTGGACTTCGGGCTGTCAGGGGACTTAGTAAGTAGGGCTGTAAGTAGAGGTATAAGTACCCAAACGCAGTTACCTCAGTTATCACCCGGCTATAACCGACTTACTAAGTCCCCTGCACCTCAAAAGCATTTCTGAAGTGCCTAGACCGAAAAATCTCAAGCCCCTACACAGTGAACTCCTACCCCAAGCCCCAAAACCCTCAGTAGCTACGAACCCTTAAAACCCAAAACCCTCCCTAAACTCTAAACCCTCCCTAAACCCAAAACCCTCCCTAAACCCAAAACCCTCCCTAAACCCTAAACCCTCCCTAAACCCTAAACCCTCCCTCAACCCTAAACTCTAAACCCTAAACCCCTAAACCCTTGAAGCTCTAAACCCTTGAAACCCAAAACCCTAAACCCTTGAAACCCAAAAACCTCATTCCTCAACTCCGGGCTCAAGGGAACCTGGAAGCTGCTAGAGCAAACCAGATCAACATAAGAGCAAGACCAGGACAAAGACGGTTTAGGGTTTAGGGGTTAGGGTTTAGGGGTTACAGGGTGTAGGGTTTAAGGGTTAGGGTTTAGGGTTAGGGTTTAGGGTTTCGGGGTTAGGGTTTAGAGTTTAGGGCAAGGGCGACAACATAGACTAAGACCAAGACGCAGATCAAAGACCGAGACCAAGCACAATAAACATGGCAATAACACGAAGAACAAGAGTAACATGAATAACATACAGACCAAAAGCAAGAGCAATGATAATAATCATAATGATAATGGGGTTGCCAATTATAATGATAAGAGAGAAAATATCAATATGAATAACCATCATCAAACTGATGTGTACCAATCATCACGATCCAACTTACCAATACACCCCATTCCGTAATGATCCATCCAGCAGCGACCATAGGATAGCTTGTATAACTTCTCGAACCGCGACCACCGAAACGATTGCACGAGGTTAGAAGCTTTTGAACGCTATCTGATCCAGTTAACCCTAAACCCTAATCCCTAAACCCTAAACGCTAAGCCCTAAACCCTAAACCCCTAAACCCCTAAACCCCTCAACCCTAATCCCATAAACCCTAAACCCCTAAACCTTAATCCCATAAACCCTAAACCCGAAACCGTTTATCAGCCCTAAACCCTGGTAGAGGGGTCCTCGTGCCGACTCTTCCTCTTTCGGACGCCAGGGCCCTGCCGTGGCCTGAGAACCACAGAGCTTTCGAGCCCTCCTACCCTTCGTGTTTCGGATGGAGGCCTGAGGTTTATGTTCGGGTTTTAGGGTGTAGGGTTTAGGGTCTAGGGTTTAATTAGGGTTTAGGTTTAGGGTCTAGGGTCTAGGGTTTAGGGTTTCGGATTTAGGGTTGAGGGGACTCAGAACCTCTGCTTTTGCGCTTGAAGGTCGTAGGTTTAGGGTCGTCGCTGACTGAGGCCATCCGCTCGAGCCATGCCACTCACAAACCATGCAACAGCAGCCGGCACGGCTAATAGGAGCAACAGAAGAAGCAACATCGCCTGCATCACATGTATCGACAAGAGCAATAACAGTGGCCCAGCAGCACCGCCAGCGCCGCAAGAACAACGGCAACATGACTTGAAAAGAGATCATATGTCGCATCACTTCGTCGTTATCATAAACCTCAAATGCTGAGTGTCAAACCCTCTCGAAAAACTTGCATAACTGCCTCCTTCCCAAACCCTAAACTCTGAACCCTACACCCGAAACTCCTAAACCTAAACCCTAAAGATCCAAACCTGAAGCATTCAGACCCCGGAGGAAACTCCCAAAACCCCGAGGCCCAGACCCAGCAAATGGCCGTAAACCCCAAAATCCCAAGAATACCGAAACCCAAAACTCCCGAAACCACCAAATCCGTAAACCCTAAAACTCCCGAAATCCTAAAATCCAAAATCTCCCACAAAATCACCCTATAAACCCTAAACTCCTAAACCCCCTACACCCC